GCAGCAATGAGGCCAAGCTGATGGACTGGTGCTCCAATCCCAGCATTTACAGGGAGGACAATGCTTCTCGGAGATTTTCTCAGAGCTGTTTTCTTCTTTTTGTTTTTTTTTCATGCAGCCCTAAACTGTAAACCCTGAGCCGTAAGCCTGCAATCTCCAGACTCTAAACCCTGCACTCGCATACTGCCTCTCAGGGGTAGGCCGACGGGACACCATCGCTATCCTTAAGGGTAGCTTAAGGGTACTAGAACGGCACTCTAGGTGTAGTTTCTGCTCCTGTAGGGGCGCTATTACAAGGGGCACAAAGGCGGCTGTCAGGGCGGCGAGGAGGGTTCAAAGGTGTAACTCCCGCAAGGACCAGAGGGGCTACTGTAAGGGTCGCTATTAGATAAGAGTTTCTATCCTTAGCCCAACCTCCCCTAGTATAAGCAATTCCCTGCGGCGGCTTAAGGTTTTCAAACCTACAAGCGCCTGAAAGACCGAGTCTTTGATGAGTTACTGTAGGGACTTTAATAATGAGAATAGGGTTTGGGGGTAAATTATATTAAGGCCCCATACTATAATACCCTTATAGATCCCTGCTGTAGATCCCGTATAGACCCCTTTTAAGGAACCATCTTAACTGGAACCCCATTCTAATCATTAAGGCCCCTACACTAGGGGACGCGTGACGCTGGAGCAGCAGGTGCTTCCCCCTCTGGGCTACCGGTGCAAGTTCGAGTGCAAGGCCGGATGTCTCAAACCCCACACCCAGAGGCTCCAAACCTCTTGATTAAGGAATGCACTGTACCTTAAACTATACTGGTGTTCCTAGTATAATTTAAGATATATTCCTTAATTAACGGGTTTTGGACCCTCTGGGTGGTTCAGGGTCTTGGGCGCGTACCCTCACACATAGGCGAGGTCGTGCGTAAGGAGTTCAGGGTGTGAGAAACAGTATGGAGCACGAAGTTATAAGCAACACTCTGCTTCAGCACGTGGCGTCTGGTCCTAACCATGCTACACTATACTATACGATTATTTGTACTACACTTATACTGTAGTATACTATACGGTACGCTGATGCGGTACTACACTATACAAAGCTATACTCTAGCATACTACTATACTGCACTCGGGTTCGCTTCCGTTGCCGAGTTGCGTCGGAGTACCCCTAAACCCTAAACCCTAAACCCTAAACCCTAAACTCAAGGCATAGGCCGCCCACCTACTGTGGGTGGGCGGCGCTTAAGCCCCTCGCAGAGCGACCCAAGACGCCTGCCCGCCTCTCCACAGCCATGGGGACGGTAGCACCCAGGTCAGGCCCGGTACCGGAGCAGGTTCTCCCGGGACCACTTTACCCCAAAACCTGGTACCCGAAATCCTGAAGGCCGCTGGGCTGGTTTGGCCACCCCCAAAAAGGGACCCCTCGGGGGGCTTGGGAGCTCCAGCGAGCAGAGTTCCAGGACCTAGGGGCCTCCTGGCCGGTCCTAGGGGTGACTTGGGACAACAACTGTTTTTTGGGCTTTTGTGGCCCCCTCTGACCCGTCCTGCCCCCCTGGCCCCCGCTGGCCCCCCCCTGGCCCCCCCTGGCCCCCCCTGGCCGGCCCCCCCTGGCCCCCTCCTGCCCCTCCTGGCATGGCCTCCCCCTTGGCCCTTACCTCCTGCCGTACTCTGCCCTGCCTTTTGGCTGCAGAATTGTGTGTTTGTTGTTAACCAAAATGGACCTAACAGAGTTTAGGTCCTAAACCCTAAAAGGTATAGGTTTGGGCGGTTTGCCGCCTCAGACGGTGTGGGGTGGGTGAGTAATGTGATGGCCCGCCGCAGTCGGGCCATGTCTGCGATTCGCAGGCAACAAAACCGCTAATAAATCCTACAATCCCTGTCACACTACCGCTACGCAATCTTGCAGCAAAACCCTAAACCCTAAACCCTAAACCCCAAACCCTAAACTAAAGCTGGTGATGCCTGTCGCGACGTCTAGGAGCCTATGGCATCAGCAGCGCACGTGCGCTGAGCACCGGCATCCGTTTCAATAACGGATGCTTACTGCATGCAGCTTGAGCGCGAAGAGTTAGCTTCGTGCTCCGTACCCGCATTCGTTCACTTCGGAGGGTGCATTACGCTTCCAGCGTGAAAATAAATAATAGTATATTGTATTACCCTAAACCCTAGAGTCGGGATCCTAACCGGCTTGTGAGGTTTTGAAGCTGGACCCAACTGTCCGTACGGACGGCGGCGTGTGTACTCCCTGACAGCTCACAGGCTGGCCCCAGTCTCCTTACGGAGGAGAGGGCATGGTTTAGAGCAGCCACATGAAAAGACAGGAGGGGACCTCGAGATTGGCGCCTAGCCTAGCTTAAAATATACATTTTATGAAAAGAATTTAGTACTCCAAAATCAGCTGCAGTTTTCCAGATTTACGAAAGACAGCCAACTGCCCGTACGGACGGCGCCGTGTACGCACCAAATGCCCGTACGGACGGCCGGTTCGGGTGGCCGCATCTCGGACAACCCGCAGACTGGACCCCACTGCCCGTACGGACGGCCAGTTTGGCAGCCAGCTGCCCGTGCGGACGGCGCCGCGTGCACTCGCCGCCAAGAAAAGCCACATGAAAAGACAGGAAGGGACCTCGAGATTGGCGCCCGGCCTAGGTTAAAATACACATTTTATGGAAAAGAATTTAATACGTCAAAATCAGCTGCAGCTTCCAGATTTCAGAAAGGCAGCCAACTGCCCGTACGGACGGCGCCGTGTGTACTCCCTGACAGCTCGCAGGGTGGCCCCATTTGCCGGCTGGACCCCTGCCCGTCCGGACGGCCGGTTGGGGCGGCCGTGTGCCCGTCTGGACGGTCGGTTGGGGCCCACCGGATTTGAGACATCTCCCAAGCTGACCCCACGCGCCTGTCCGGACGGCTACGCCCACCTGCCCGTACGGACGGCCGGTTCGGCAACGCAGCTCCCTTATTTTTGCTTTTTTTATGAAAGAGGAGTCCATTCTCTGCCCGTACGGACGGCGCCGTTTAGATGCCACTGTCCGTAACCCCACGCACCCGTACGGACGGCTACGCCCACCTGCCCGTACGGACGGCCGGTTCGGTAACGCAACTCCCTTGTCTTTGCTTTCTCTATGAACAAGGAGTCCATTCTCTGCCCGTACGGACGGCGCCGTGTGGATCCCACTGTCCGTACGGACGGCGCCGCGTATGCTCCCTCACAGGCCCCATCTGCAGGCTGACCCGGTCGTACGGACGGCCGGTTCGGGCGGCCGTGTGCACTCCCTGTACGCACCAAGTGCCCGTACAGACGGGCGGTCGCATCTAACTGGACCCAACTGCCCGTACGGACGGCGCCGTGGGGCATCCCCACTTCAAGGGCTGCAGTACCGCTGTGACGGGCCCTCCGACAAAAGCCTATAAGCAAGACACTAATTGGCAAGGGAATATGTTAAGGAAGAAAAGTGTTCCAACAAAGAACGCTCCAAACGAAAACCCCATAAGAAAAACCCTAAACCCTAACAGATTTAATGTCTGGGTGGTCTTGGGGTGGGATGTCGCGTCCAGCTCGGCGCGCCGCCCCGCGACCCTCTGGGTCGAGGCGCGCCGCTTACGATGGGAAACCCTAAACCCTAAACCCTAAACCCTAAACCCTACAGTGCTACAATTTGGTTTAGGGTTTGCCACCGGGAGACGAGGCTCAGGGTTTCTCTATGTTTTGTTCGGGTTTAGGGTTTGGGGTTTAGGGTTTAGGGTTTAGGGTTTAGGGTTTAGGGTTTGGGGTTTAGGGTTTAGGGTTTAGGGTTTGGGGTTTAGGGTTTAGGGTTTAGGGTTTGGGGTTTAGGGTTTAGGGTTTAGGGTTTGGGGTTTAGGGTTTAGGGTTTATAGAAATTGTTAAGGGTTTGGGTCCCAAAAACGTTTTGTGCGAAAGTTTTGACTGGAAGTTTTGGGCGGAGTTTTTTTTTTTTGCGAACCATGTTTTCAAATTTCTTGGGGGGCTGCGAAACGTTTTGGACGAAACTTTGGAGCGGAGCGAGATTTGACCGTCCTGGGGCGGGGGCGGGGGCTGGGGCTGGGCTGGGGTCGAACCATCATAGAAATTGAGTCCCCAAAACTTGTTGACGATACGTTTTGAACGAAAGTGTGGGGGGCTGTTGCTGGGGCTGGTGGGGCTGCTGGGACTGGGGCTGCTGGGGGGCTTGTGGGGCCTGGGGGGGCTAGGGGGGGGGGGGGCCAAAAACGTTTTCAACGAAACGTTTTCAACGAAACGTTTTCACCGAAACTTTTCAAGGGAACGTTTCTTCTTTTGAACTCACACCTTGAGTTTGCGGGGAGGGGAGGGGGCCAATAGAAATTGACCGAAACGTTTTGGACGAAACGTTTTGAACGAACCATTTTGAACGAAGTTTTTTTTGCGGACCATGTTTTCAAATTCGTTGTGGGGCTGCGAAACGTTTCGAACCAAACTTTTGAGTGAGACGTTTTATTCCGCAGGAAACTCCCAACTGCGCGCGGCACGGCACAAAGTCCGCAGCGGCGCTGGGCCTGACGATGCTCTGCGCAGAGTACGAGGATCGGCGGTCCACGGGGGACCTCCGAATGCCGACAACTCGGCATGCCTCGGCTTCCGGTTTCGCCGGGGTCTGTAGCTCTTCCTGACTTGCTCGCTTTGCGATGCCTGTGCGGATGTGCGTTGTGTGCCCAGGCCTGCCGTCTGTGGCTTCATACGGGTCATTAGTGACCCGTACTTCCGGGACGCTGCACGAGCCCTTCCCAGGGACCAGTGCTACATCGTCTTCGACGGCAGCTTCTACGTCGGCGAGGTGGCAGAGCCCTGGCTGCGTTCGCGGCGCCTTGCCTTGGAAGTCTCGGGCGCTCGGCAGTATAGTCTCCAATGCTCAGGTGTGGAGATATCCGGCCCACACCATCGTCGACGCGAAGCTTCTCACAGCGGTCGCGCCGCCTCCAGGCTCGTTATCGATCTCCTACCCGCACGGCCAGGAAACCACAGAAACAGACGGTCCATGCCAGACCCATTCGAGAAGTTGTCGCTTGCTACAGGCATGATCATCCATGAGAACTGCTTGGTCATGTCTTGCGAGGGAGCCGTCAACTCGGAGTCTCGTCGGCATTACGCCGCGTGCGTGCTCCGACGCTCGAGCGGGTTGTCTGTTGGTCGTCCCTTTTCGGTCGGCTTCATTCTCGTTGCGTGGTGCAGCCATAAGGAGATGGCCAGTGGCGACCTCGACGGGGATGACGTGTGCTTCAGCTTCTGGAAGGCACTCATCGCGGTGCTGAAGCGCACGCAGGCACTCCGTGGCCTGGTTGGCGTGGCCTCCCATTTGCGGTGTTTGTTCCCTTTTTTTGTGCGAGGCGAGTGTCGCGGGGGTGCCCGTCCAGCAAATCGAGCGGGACGTACTGGCTGGATTTCAAAAGCCGAAGACGCTGTTCACGTCAGCGGACCCTGCGCAACGAGGCGAGGTCGGGTTCCAAGAGGGTTGGCAGGCTCCCCAGTCTCCGATCGCCGTTGCGTGCTAACGCATTCGACCTCTTGCATCGCTTGCTACTTGATTGCCGTCGCTAGCTGACATGTGACGCAGGTGTCGAGTTGCGGCAGCACGTTATCGCGTCGACCACCTTTCCCATTCGTGGAGCGGCGGCCGTCGCCTCCGAGCGCTTCGTCACCAAGGCAATGGAGTCAGGCGGCAGTGACGGACCGAGTACTGCTCCCGGCGGCTAGTCGGGACTGTTGTCTCCTGTACTGGTTAACGGGCGTTTCCAGGTTGTTGTTCTGGGGCGCGGGAGGTATGTTCGGTTCGATGTTTCAGTGCGCCGCGGTACGACAGGCGGAGGTCCCGGCGAATGCTTTCGTCGCGCCATCGAGGCGGCCTACCTCGCCCACAATGTAACTTGGCTGCGACGTGCTTGTCTGGAGTCCATGACGAACGAAGCCGTTCCTGGTTGATTGGGAGGGGGAAGGTGGAATGTCGATAGTGAGGCGACAGTGAGCTGATGCCGGTGGCGGGTGTTCGGGCCAGTGCATGCGAAGGGTGAGTTTTGTATGCTGCGAGTCTCGTGGCACCATGTCTCGTGCCCAGGCCATGAACGCTCCCAAAAAGATCGAAACCCTGGCGATGAAAAGGAAGGTTGGCAGATTTGCCAAGGCCCATGGCATTGGCAAAAGTGTGCGCAGGCCAGGGGCGACTCGCATGCTGTGTGATCTCCTGAATGCCGACCGCCCCTGACCGCTCCGTAACTTAGCCTGTGCCCTGCGCAGGTCCTCGGAGGTGATGCAAGACCAGCTCAAGTTCGACGTGCCTGATCTGGAAGCCTGCAGGCCGGGCTTGCCGTCGGCACACATCATCGTCTATCTGATCTGATACATCTGGTGGGTTTGGTGTTGTAGCCATTGTAGTGTGACTCAGCGACCGTGAAATACAGGAGATCCCAACCTGATGCCGCAGCCGCCGCAGCCGCCGCGCCGCGGCGTCGGCGGAAACCCGCCAAGCTGAACCGAGACGAAGTGCTGAAGCACTACGCATGGGACCCGGCGTCATGTTCTGCAAACCTCTCGTAGACTGCATACTGTGCCTGCCGGGTTGCGACATGCAGCGAACCAGGCGAAGGACCTCGAGCGCGCTATGGGGGACGTGAAGAAAATCGGCCGTATCTGGATGCCGCACAGCCGGATCGTCCTGGGGCGGGAAGCAGGCACGGATTGGAGCTGTAGACCGCAGTGTCGTGAGTAGATCCTTCATCGTGGGTGACATCGCGTACATGTCTACTCATACGTGCACATACACGCACACATAAACACACCAACTCAGCAAACAGTATGATCGCCCGAGTCTGGTAAGGTCGTAAGGGTGGCCCCAAAAGAAGCGGCGGGAATCCGGCTTGTCGCTTCTAGCACAGAGGGCTTGGCCGAAATCAGCATGTTGCCTGGCCTTGGCACTGCAAACCACACCTGCCGTCCGTTCCCGTATCCTTCTCTTATCTGGCCGCACGCTTGCTGTTTTCGAGCGCTGATGCTTTCACGGCTTCCGCTCGAATTCGTCAGAGTTTCTGGAGAACACGAACGAGGGCCAAGCAAGCATAGTATATAGGTCATCAGTCCTATCGGGCATGGCGCGAGGGCTTGTGGAAGGCCCTGCTCGGATCATCCATCCGTGCTGTGGTCCGTTCGTGCGTCAGGCCGAGCCCTGCGATCCGTCTTGGCCGAGGAGCCAGAGCAGCCGCACGAAGCCAGGACTGCATATGCTGGACGGCTGCGGTTGGACTCCCCGAACGCTTCGATGAGCTTGCCAGGCTGCGGCCGCGCACCCCGCTGCGCGAGATCGCGGCGCTCCTCCGCCATCGCCTGGAGCGCCGCCTTGGGAAGACGGAGCGGTGGTCTGAGGCAGGCGGTCGATTCTCGTCTGACCCATGTGCAGTCCGGGGCTGATGACAGGTGGATGTGGCCACGTTCCGGAACGCCGTCAACACGCTTCGGTCGACGAAGAGTGACGGCTCCTGGCTCACACTCCTTCATAGCGCACTGCCCTGATCCTTCACATTATGGCTGAGTTGTAATGTAGCAATGTACACAGTTCGTTCAAGCGTGTAGTCTGTGATACGGACACTATACTGTGCGATCCCAGCAATGGTCCCCACCGTATACAATCTAGTTACTATAGCCACCCACGAGACTAGCTGGTGGCATTGGGGCCTTCAGAATCTTCCGTTTTCGCACCGAGCAACAATGGGAGCAAAAAAAAGGAGGGCTCGAGCCGGCGAGGCGAATGAATAGACAGAACGGTTCTTGAAGAATATATGTCGTGAGATACGCACGCCTCCTCCCGATTGAAAACAACATGATGGAATCTAGTCGATATTCATAAACCTATGATCCTCTCGAAATATATGGGACTTGAAAATGTACACGTTCCGAAATTGCCTTGAATCCATGTATCATAATTCTGTGGTGAAAATGAAGGCGATTTTGCGCAGCGACTAAGTTGTCTTCTCTGTTTTCATAGCTGGAGGTCCCGCAGCGCAATGATTCAATCTTTTCTCTTGATCTTTCGTCATGTTTTTCTGACATGCGATAATGACTTCTTTTTGATTCTCCTTTCAACGAATTTGAAGTTTAACTCTCAACAATTCAAACAACACATGCATCCGATTTGCACAACATGTTTGTGGAAGTTGAACAATTGGGTGACTACCCCCGCCGCTTCACACAGCATGGCTCGTCGGCACATGTGCAACATGACATAACCTTCAGCTCATGAGCTACGCAGCTTGAGCATGCACTGTGGAGAGCTTTGCTAAATGTTTTGTTCACGTCCTAGGCTGTCTTCTCCTTCGGCCGGGGGCGGGTGCATGGAAGACTGTCGCGTTGAAGAGGCCGTTGAGCTTCTGCGTGGTGCGGCTTCCAGGCTTTCTTCTTGCGAGCATCGTCTTGGTACTCGTGACGGCCAGACTTCCGAACTGCGTGCATTGCCAGCAAAACCCTTCAGGATCTGAAGGGTTGTCCTAAACCCTTCAGGATCTCAAGGGTTTCCCTGAACCGTGTTCGAGGTTTTGTCAAGCTTGGTTCTTCATGAAGCTTGTCCAACTATCCGCTTTCTACGTGCTTCCACTTCTGCCATCTCATTGGATTTTGGGTTTGAGATGCTGCGCCTCAGCTGTGCTTACCAGCAAAGACAAGCAATCGAGTTTGGGTTTGAGATGCTGCTTCGGTGATTGATACTAGAGCGCAGCCTCAGCTGCTGTGGGTAGTGCTTGCTTCTTACAATACCATTCAACATCTTAACGGTAGCCCACGGTCTACCGGTGTCCTCTAACGCGCGCGCCAGTGCGCCGTGCCAAAGCAGTTCTTGTCTCCTTGCAGACAAGAGCAAAACGCACATCGACGTCACCGATGTGCGTTTTGAATTGGCCAGATTTGGACACTTCAAAACCAAACCATACCAAACCAGTTCTTGTCTCATTGCAGACAAGAGCAAAACGCACATAGACGTCACCGATGTGCGTTTTGGACTGGCCAGATTTCCACACTTCTAAAACAAACCATACCAAAGCAGTTCTTGTCTCTTTGCAGACAAAAGCAAAACGCACATAGACGTCACCGATGTGCGTTTTGGATTGGCCAGATTTGGACACTTCAAAACAAAACCATACCAAACCAGTTCTTGTCTCTTTGCAGACAAGAGCAAAACGCACATAGACGTCACCGATGTGCGTTTTGGATTGGGCCAGATTTGAAAACTTCTTTTTTCTTCGCAGACAAGAGCAAAATGCTTCTTTCTGTAAGGCGGACAAGATGACACATTTCCGGCCTGGAATGTGTCATGCTTCAGACCTTGCAAATTTCAAGGACGCTGTAAGTTTGTAACGCCAATGTCCACCCATGAACTTCGTATCTTTGTATGGTACAGACACTGCAAATTTCAAGGACGCTGTAAGTTTGCAACGCCAACCTCCACCCATGAACTTCGTATCTTTGTATGGTACAGACTCTGCAAATTTCAAGTGCCTGGCAATTTTTTATCGGTAGTTGGGCCGTAGCCATGATTACAAACAAGGACAAACCCTAGCGGCGGTTACCTGCTTGTAAGGAAATGGGTTTATCAAGAAGCTTGTTCAATTCTTCATCGGTATGTTGGGCCGTAGCGGTAATTACAAACAAGGACAAGCAATTTCTATTTATCACTTTCTTGAGGGTTTAGGGTTTGGGGTTTGGGGTTTAGGGTTTGGGGTTTTGCCGTAGAATGGCGCATAAGCGGGAGTAGCTTGCGACAGTGTAATTTCGAGTGCATCGTCCTCAAGCGATTCAACGTTTGAGCCTGATTGTGGTTGGCTCTTTTTATTCACTCTCCCACCCCACGCCGTCTAAGGCGGCCAAACCACCCAAACCTATTCCTTTTAGGGTTTAGCACCTAAACTCAGTCTACGGTTTTCTTTTTCTTCAACCTCAGGCGGGGCAAAGCAGGGCAGGGCCAGGTAGGTGAGGGGGCCAGCCGGCGGGGTCAGGGGGTCAGAAACAAGTGGTCAAGGCTCGGGTGGGCCAGGGGGCCAGGGGCCGGGGGAAATTTGGGGGCCCAGGAGGGGGGCCAGGGGAAAGGCAAAAAAACAGTTTTTGTCCAAAGTCCCCCCTAGGACCGGCCTGGAGGCACCTAGGTCCTTGAACTCTGCTCGCTGCAGGCCCCAGGCCCCCCCTGGGGGGTCCCTTTTTGGAGGGGGCCCAAATGGGAAAGCACCTCCAGAGCGAAGGCTTGGGGTTTGGGGTAATTACTTTTTTAAGGGAGCCTGACGTGGGTGCTACCGTCCCCATGGCTGTGGAGAGGCGGGCGGGCGTCTTGGGTCGCTCTGCGCCATCGAGGTCGAGGGGCTTAAGCGCCGCCCACCCACAGTAGGTGGGCGGCCTATGCCTTGAGTTTAGGGTTTAGGGTTTAGGGTTTAGGGTTTAGGTTCTCATGGTGCCTGGACCCTAAGCCCGGGTTGAAGGCTACATCACAAGTTAGAATAGATAGTCCATCCTCGCCCAACCCATCCGCTACTTGAAGAAAGCACCTAAACTCGCCATGCCCCGCGCTGCAAGTGCGCCCCCCAGCCTTAAAATCCTTGCGAAACCGCATCCTGCGCACTGCATGCAGGATGGCAGGGTGGCGTGGTGGCAGTACCTCAACATCAGAACGAAGATCACAGAGGTTGAGGCCGCCCGCAAGGGGTGCCGAAATCTGTCTGGAGAGTGGCTTTGGGTAGTTAGCAGTTCTCTAAATTAGAACCCCTTTTTAGGTTCCCAGAATAGTACAGCTGGTTCGCAAAATAGTGCAGCTAAAAGGGACCTTAATTTAGAGAACTAACTATACGGGCAGTTGTTGATTGTGGGCTCCCACAGAAGCAGAGGCCCCACTCGTATAACAAGGAGCCCAGTTTGGGCCACCAGAGCCAAGGGGAGAGGGGTGATATGGAAGCCTGAACAACTAGCAGTGTCATTCACCAGGCCTCCTTGTTATGACTGTATTTGAAAATCCTCTCAACCCCAGATGAAATTATTAAGGTCCCTCTACTAGCTTGGTCCTTCGTTATGTGTTTTAGGGTCCAGGGCCATGTTCCTGAACACCGCATCGCAGGGTCAGCAAACACAACAGCCCCTGCGCCGTGAGAGCTCGTACATTAGTTTTTGATGCTCTCCCACCGCCTCCATACCCAAAGCCCCTAAGCCCCAAACCCTCGAAACCCTGAACTCCAACCCCCTTGAAGTTATGAAACCTTTCTCAATGGTCCCTGACGGCTGCCAAGGTTTGCAGCTGGGGCATTGCGATCAAACGGGTCAGAGTTTAGGGTTCAGGGTTTTGGGTGCAAGGTTTCTTCACGGCGCAGTTGATTGCTTAATTCAACTCCACCATGAAGGAGTTTGAAAGGCCTGTCACGTGAGCCTGACTTTAGGGTTTACTATAGGGTTTAGGTTTGGGATCGCATGGTAAGACGTAAAATCCTAAACTCGAGAGCACTAACACGCCTAAAGCGCAAGCCCTGGCTCCAAAACCGTGTAATGCCGGTAACCGGAAGGCCTTATGCCCCATGAGCCCCTAAACCACAACCCCATAAGCCTAAAGCCACAAACCCTAAGCTCCCTGAACATCATACCCCCCCCACACCAAACCGCTCCCCTTTCCGTGTTTTTTCATGCGACAGCATTCAGAGTTCCAGGAGGATGACAAGGAGACTTCGCAGCAGGTGCCTCTGCCTCATAACGACAGCGAGGAGCAGAGTTTCGTGGCTTTAGGGTTTGAGGTTTTTTTGGTTTTCGGCTGGAATTAAGGTTTTCAGTGTTGAAGTTTTGAAGGTTGAGAGTGATAGAATGCAGACTGCTAATTAAGGAAAACCTCCTCTCTCAAAAGGATGAGAACTGGGCTCCTTGTTCTGTAGCCCGGGGGTCTACTTGGAGGGTCGGGGGACTTAGCAAGTAGGTAGCAAGTAGACTTATAAGTACCCTAAAAGGGACCCTAATGGGGGTTATGGTGCTTATAAGTCCCTGAAATAACCAGCTACTAAGTCCCCCCTCCAAGTAGGGTTCATCAGAGCGAGCCCTGAAGTATTCCTGGTACGATCACCCCGAACCCGAAGCTGCAAAACTCACGTTGCGCCGCTGCCGATGAGCTTACGATCTTCCCCTAGAACCGAAGCCTTAAACCTTCAGCTTCCAAGCCCAACCCCGAAAAGTCCCAAACCTTGAAACTCTGAATCTCTAAACCCCTAAAACCCTTCGCAGTCTAAGTCCGCAATCCCGTAACTAAGCCGGCCCCAAACGCCTAAGCCCTAAACCCCCTAAACTCTAGAACCTAAGCCACAAATACTCCCAAATACCTCGACTTCCCCTGAAACTTACCCTAAACTCTAAAACCTAAGCCAACCAAAATTCCAAATACCTCGAATTCCCCTGAAACTTGCCTGCTTGGAGGGTCGGGGACTTAGTAACTGGTTATTTTAGGGACTTACAAGTACCATAACCCCAATTAGGGTCCCTTTTAGGGTATTTTTAAGTCTACTTTCTACCTACTTACTAAATCCCTAAACCCTAAACCCTATACTACCCTTATAGAGCCCTTTAAAAGGAACCCTTAGACTCCCCTTTAAAGAACTACCTACTAAGTCCCCCGACCCTCCAAGTGGGGACGAGGAGACTCCTCTCGATCTCAACGCCAGCTCCGAATGCAAGCTTCCACAGTCCATGAGGAGACTTGGGAAAGCACTTCAGGGTTTAAGGTTTTAGGGTTTGGGGTTTAGGGTTTAGGTTTAGGTTCAGGGTTTAGAGGACAGTGCATGAGGATACTTGGGAAAGCACTTCAGAGTTTAGGGTTCAGAGGTTTAGGGTTTAGGGTTTCGGGTTCAGGTTTAGGGTTTAGAGGTTTGGGGTTAAGAGGTTTAGGGTTTAGAGGTTTAGGGTTGAGTTATAGGGTCTAGAGGTTTAGGGTTTAGGGGACAGTCCATGAGGATACTTGGCAAGCCTCTTTAGGGTTTAGGGTTTACTTTAAGCTACCAGGACCTACTTTTTTTTGTGGCGCCCCCAGGAATTCCATAGTCAATCTTACAAATTAGGGTTTAGGGTCAACCTTTGGAAGTTTTTGCTCCGGGGTTATCCGCCTGCAAAAAAACAGGGAGCCCAGGAAATGGCGGCTTGCCACTTACCGGCTGGTTTGGGGAACTTTTGTTGCCTTTCGATGAGGAGGCCAACATTCTGATTCTACTTGTAGGTTCGCGGGTAGTACTAAGTGTGGAGTCATGACTAGGGTTACTAGAAGAAGAGCCCCCTCACTAGGGGACTCATAACTTCACGTTTACTACCCATGAGCTGATAACAAACTGTAACGACGCGTCCCCCGCACAGGCGCACGCCAATACAACTGCCCATGAACCTCCAAGCAGAAGTCAGCCAAGGATATTGGACGGGTGCACCAACCATGTCCAAGGAGTTTCGGAGAAAGCCTGGCAGTGGCTGGTAACTTCCTGAAGGCACGCAGCTTTGCGAGTTTTCGGCCGTGCCCGCGGAGTTCCATGCTGATAAACTGATGACAGAGCTTAGACATGTAGCTAAGTGGGAAAGCAGTAGTCACCCTGAGCCCTAAGCCGAAGGTGTCCTAGCCCGTAAACCCTAAACCCAAGGTTTCATCCCCCAGCTTTGTTATCCCTAAACCCTAAACCGATGTGTTTCGTATCAGCCGGGCTCTGCTTCGGGAAGCTCATGAGCAGAGCTCTTCTCACATTCTCTTCGACATGCAGTGAGACCGCGGGTTTAGCGTTTAGGCTTTAGCATGTAGGGTTTAGCGGTCCCGCATCTCGTAGGACGCATCAGAAGATCGGGTTCACGGTTTAGGGAACTACTCTCCCTGCACTGCGAAAGCGGGTGTAACTCTGGATTAGGACAAGACGTCCTGCCACGAGACCCGACCGAATGCCATGCATGGTTTCAAGGCACATGCCGAAGGGCCCGGAATGGTTTCTCTGAACTCTAGCCTGTAAGGTTAGGGTTAAGGGTTTAGGGCGTAAACCCCAAACCTCAACCTGACATAGAAGCAGGAGAGGCTAGAAGCAGGAGAGAGGGAACCCCTTTGTCGCCCTTCCTCGCTGGCCTTTAGGACACTGCGGGAATCTCCAGACGCAGTATTGAATCGTCTGGGCGAGTCCCGCTGCTCAGATTTATCGCTTCACTTAGATCCACGGTTTCCCAATTTTGGCAGTGTGCACTGCAGGTTTCGATGATCTGACTATTAGTATTATTCTGTTTATTCCTATTCCTACTACTAGTATTGTTCGTAATAGTAGTCTCATTCGTCTTCCTTTTAATATTAGCATAAGCACGTGCCACGAGTTAGGGGCATCTGTCTTCCAACGCATAGGCCCTCGGCCGTGAGTCCCACACTCTGGACCCTTAGCTTCAGCCTTGCAGACGCAGGACCCGGAACCCGAAACTGCAGGTTTTGCACAGCTCTCTTGCATTGACGTTTAGGGATTTAGGGCCAGGGGTTTAGGGATTCGCCAGGGCATAGGAAGGCGGCAGAAAAACGACAGCAGCAGCAGGGAGGAGCAGCCGCAGCAGCCTAAGCTCACTTACTATGCATCCCTCGACTGGCATGGTGGACTGCGTCACTGACGTCCAGAATTTCCTTCGGGATTCAGTTTAGTCGTTTTGAAGAGATTTCGTCGGCTAACCTGCAGTGCGAGACAGACGCGGTTAAGACTGCACTCAGTCAGCCTTGTTATCTGTTGTATGCAGGCTGTACAGCTGCCAATGTCGTACCTGTCAGCCATCCGCAGTGGAGAATCATTGTTCGGTGGGTGTCGTATGGGTTCCAGATCAAACCCTGAATTCGTTTATGGCTATAAATCCTACCTATAGTCTCCATTGTAGTTCCTTTTCTGGTTTAACCAATTTTATATTAAGGATCCTAAAAGGTAACCCCCAAAAGGAACTACGCTGGAGACTATAGGTAAGTCCCAAGCCTTCCAAACCCACAGTCTAAGTTTCGATACAAAGGATCTTAACCACTCAGCTTCCGGGGGGCTTGCATGAATTCTACAGATTTCAGGATCTAGGGGTTTAGGCTTTGGGGTTTTAGTAGTTCAGGACCCTGAATCCCTCAACCCCACAACCCTAAACCCTAAAAGCTGGCACTTCCGGTGTTAGTGACTTCTCGAGTGTCCGGGAAGGACATGGCTTCCGCTTGCCGGCTGTAACGGGCCTAGGGCTTCTTTCAGGGTTCCCTGTAAGGGTTCTTTAGGGCTTCGGGGTTTTGGGTTCTTTAGGGCTTCCGGATTTTGGGTTCTTTAGGGCTTCCGGATTTTGGGTTCTTTAGGGCTTCCGGATTTTGGGTTCTTTAGGGCTTCGGGGTTTTGGGGCTTTGGGGGTGTAGGCCACTTAACCTCCGCTCCTGAATCTTGGGGCCTCCTGTGAGGGATAGGGTCTCAGAATACGTTGTAAAAGCCTCAAAGCCCCTTATAGAGCCCCTTAAAGGAACCCTTATAGTACCCTTATAGTAACCCTTTAAAGGAATCATAAGGGTCCCCTATGTTCGGAAACTCCCACTAAACGCTGTGGTAATGTTAGTGCAGCTATGTGGGACCACCAGGGCTCTGGAGGTGTTAGTTGCACTTGAGATGCCATAAGAAAGAACATGTGAATCTTGGGGCCTCCTGTGAGGGATAGGGTCTCAGAATACGTTGTAAAAGCCTCAAAGCCCCTTATAGAGCCCCTTAAAGGAACCCTTATAGTACCCTTATAGTAACCCTTTAAAGGAATCATAAGGGTCCCCTATGTTCGGAAACTCCCACTAAACGCTGTGGTAATGTTAGTGCAGCTATGTGGGACCACCAGGGCTCTGGAGGTGTTAGTTGCACTTGAGATGCCATAAGAAAGAACATGCAGAGTTGAGTATGTATCTTGATAGAACTACGCGTTCAGGGCTATAGACCTTCGGGCTACAGGGTTTAGGGTTTAGGTTAGGAATTCTGAAGGCATCTTATGTAATTGAGTTCCTCGTTGCAGGCTGGGGATTGGGGGGAAGGCCGTCCTTATGTCAAATTGGAAAAGGAGGGACCCTTAATGGGGACCCCTACCCTATAATGGGCTATATAATGGGTCTATAACGGCTATATGAAGGGTATATACCTAGGGGTCCTTATTAAGGGTCCCCCCTTTACCCTTGGATTGTCTCGACGTGCAGGTTCGGGTGCAGGGGGGGCCCTTGGTGCCTTGAACCCTTACTTGGAGGGTCGGGGGACTTAGTAAGTAGGTAGTAAGTAGACTTATATGTACCCTAAAAGGGACCCTAATTGGGGTTATGCTTCTTATAAGTCCCTAAAACAACCAGTTACTAAGTCCCCCGACTCTCCAAGTAGACTACTTGAACCCTTCAAATCCCCTGACCCTAACTGACGCTATCAAACCTAAGTTGTTTGGGGTTCCTTTTTAGTCGATCCCTCATACAAGTCCTTACGGTACGGTTGATGATATAAATCCTGCATTACCCATAATAGGGAATATACCATAATTCCCATAGTTTAGGGTAGTTAGGGCAATGCAGGATTTATATCATCAACAGTAGGTCAATTATTTAGGGCCCCTAAACCCTAAACCCTAAACTCTAAACCGAAATTTAGGGTCCCTACGGTAGGTCAATTATTCGGGGTTACACTTGGAGGGTCGGGGGACTTAGTAAGTAGGTAGTAGGTAGACTTATAAGTACCCTAAAAGGGACCCTAATTGGGGTTATGGTACTTGTAAGTCCCTAAAATAACCAGTTACTAAGTCCCCCGACCCTCCAAGTACTCTCAACCCTAAACCCTATACCCTTATAGAATCCCTATAGATCCCTTTAAAGGAACCCTAAAGGAACACCTTCTAGTCACAAATTCCCCCGACCCTCCAAGCAGTCAGCTCTTCCTTGCATACCAGGGCCGAGCCGGCATCGGAGAGCTGGTGTTGCCCTTTCCTCGCGCCCTCATCGGAAAGGCTGGATCAGAGTTCGTGGAGGGTTTAGGGTTTAGGGTTTAGGGGTGGGTTATTTTGGGGCTTAGGGTTTAGTAGGGTTTAGGGTTTAGGGTTCAGGGTTTAGAGATTAACGTTTAGAGTGCGTGCTTCGAGGCCATTTGGGCTGGTGTGGCTAAACCCTACCGAAGACCCTGCACTACCCTAAAACTCAAAGCCCTAAACCTTAAACCCTAAACCTAACAACAAAAAACACTCCCGAGACTTTGATCGGGTTCTTGTCAAGGGGTTTAGTTAAGCTACTTACCATAAAAGCGATCTGTTAGGTACAGTAATGTCTCCCCCTATTTACCCTAAACCCGCAACCCTGAACAACCTTATAAACCCTAAACAAGCCTAAACCCTAAAGCCTAACCTCAATTAGTAACAAACACCCGAAACCCGAAACCCAACACAACCCTAAACCCATTATTTCGGTAACATTCCTTAATGCAAATGCGCGATCCCGCAAGAAGAAGCGGCCGTTTGGCCAGAGCCGCCGAAACTCCTTCAATTTAAGGAATTATCCCCTTTCGAGGGCTCCTTAAAGGGATCTTTAAGGGGATCTATAAGGGGATCTACCTACAACGGGATCTAGTAGGAATATACCTTCAGTTAGAGTAGGACTCCTAATATGACTTAAGGTATATGCCTTAATTAAGGGGTATTGGAGCCTTCGGCCTCAGCACTCACCCTAAAAGGGTTTAGGGGTTAGGTGTTAGGGGTTTAGGGTCTAGGGGTGCTGCAGAAGAAGGTCGGGCCCCAGGTGATCTGGATGAAGCCCAGCAGAGGGCCAAAGCGGAAATCCTTGCCAACCAGCACTGAGCAGCGAAGGAGATCGAAGAGATTCCTCTAGACGAGCTCAGCGAAAAGATGGAAGCTGTAGGGCTTTGGGTTTGGGGCTTTTGAGTTCTGGGACTTTAAGGTTTAAGAGTTGAAGGTTTTTGGGGCTGTAGCGTCTTATCGTTTGGGGCTGTAGGCTTGCAGGGTTTAGCAATTTAGGGCTGAGTGGATATAAGCACAAGGCTACACGTTTCGGTTGTGTTTACGTGCTTTTGATTCCGATGCTTCGGGCGGCCTACTTGGAGGTTCATGGGTAGTCATAAGTAGGGTTATAACTAGGGTATCTATACTTATAACCCATATTTGGGGACTTATAACCCCACTTAAAACTAACTATGAACCTCCAAGTAGGTTTGACGTCGGTTGACGTCAGGTCCTGGCAAACACAACCCAGGCCTCCACTTGTAACGCAGCGCCCGGAGGGGTTCATGCAACAGGAATAGCCGTGCCTTTTGCATCATTAGTACTCTCGCTTGTAGTGTCATCACTTGACATGTCACTGCGACTTTGAGTTTACTTTAATTATATTGGGGGTTGTCAAAATTAGGGTCCCTTTTTGGGACTTTATTACAATACGGCACCTATTATTCGGGTGCCCAGAAAAGGGCCACAATTTTGACAATCACGCATATGACTACTGTTTT